ATGTATATATATATATATATATATATATATATATGTATATATATATACACATTCATATATATATTTATTGTGGATATGCGAAATAATTTTTTTGTTTGCATTAGTTCGAGGGGCAGAATTTTGTTATTTAATTTTTTTATTTTTTCTGCATTTGTTTATTATTTAATTTATATTATATTATATAATTTTATTTATTTTATTTATTTATTATTTTATTAATATTATGTTTTTTATTTCTATGTTTGTTGCAGCTGCGGCAGCACGGGGTCCCCGTGCAGCAGCAACACAGTAGCTGGTGTGCAGCAGCTGGTGTGTGTGTAAGCATGAGTTAATTAAATAATTAATTTATAAATATTTATTTACATTTTAATTAAAATTATAAATTTAAATTAAAAAATCATAAAAAATTAAATTGTGTTGGCGAATTTATTTCTTTTTTATGTAGCTGACTCACACAATATGGAGTTTGTCACACTGCACGGCTCGAGGCTAAATGCGGCGAAACCGGGGAGTAAATGCTCCTTTAAAGGGTCAAAATAATTAATTTTAATTAATTTAATTCAATAAAAATGTTAAAATATTCAAATAAAATTCAAATTGCGGCAAAAATGAGCCGAAAATAACGAAGATCGACGGTGCACACCAGTAGCTGCCTATACACCCCACCAGTGGTTCCGCCCTGCAGCCTGGTGTTTTATACACATCATTTTAATTATTTTTTTTCTTTTTTTATTTGTGAATATAAAATTAAATAAAATAAAACTTTTATATTTATGAAATTGTTTATTTATTTCTTTTTTTTTCTCTCTTTGTATCGCCGCAGCAACCTGCGTATACACCGCATCGAGACGAGAGCTGCCTATACACCCCAACTGAGAGAGAGAGAGGCTACGTTGTTTGTGTGTTGTGTGCGTTCGTTTTCTCCCAAATAAAAACTACAATTTGATTAAATTAATAAATTAATTTAATTTTTAATTTATTTATTTTAATTCTCTGCATAAACCCGCAGAAAAACGACGCAAATGGCGGCCCTGCAGCAGATGCCTGAGCCCCCCACCACTGCAGCACAAACCATAAAGAGAGAAAGCGTAGATTCTCTTTCTTCTTCTGCTTCTACCACTGGCTCTTCTTTTTCTTTAATTGATAGCCAACAACAAACCCAAGCTGCTGCACATCCTGGCGTTGATTCTGCTGCTGTTTCTGCTGCTGTTGCTGCTGTCTCTGCTGCTGCTGCTGCTGCTTCTGCTGCTCCCGCTGCTGCTCCTTTGACTGCTGCTGCTGCTCCTACTAATCCTGCTACTGGTGTGTCTACTGGTGCTGCTGGTTCTGCTGCTGCTGCTGCTGCTGCTGCTGCTGCTGCTGCTGCTGCTGTTGCTGCTGATGATGATGAGGAGCAGGGTTTTGCTGCGTCTTCGTCTTTTTGTTATTCCATCGTAGAAATGATTTCTTTAGGCTTAGCTGGGTGCCGCGGGGAGAGGGAACAGGCAGCTGCTGCTAGCAGCACACGGGCAGCGTCAGCAGCAGCAGCAGCAGCAGCAGCAACAGCAGAGGAGGAGCAGCAGGAGAAGCAGCAGCAAGAACAGCAGAAGCAGCAGCAGCAGCAGAAACCGCAGCAGCCACAGCATCCACAACAAAAGCAGCAGCTGCAGGAACAACGACAGCAACAGCAGCAACAACAGCAACAGCAGCGCATGTTACGCAGGAACAGCAGCAGCAGCAGCAGCAGCAGCAACAGCAGCAGCAGCAGCAGCAGCAGCAGCAGCAACAGCAGCAGCAGCAGCAATCTGATTTCTAGGATGTATGGATTTGAACAGCAGCAAAAGGATAGCCAGGCCTCTGCTGCCTCTTCTTTCTCTCCTTTTTCTTTCTCTTCTCAGTGGGGCTTC